TAATTGCTATGTATTTTTCTGTTATTGTATTTTATCTAATGTTTATTATTATTGTCTTCACATTGCAGTTCATTATATTCTATTTTCTCTTAGAACAAATAAGTATGTGTAGATATGTTCGATTTCCCCCGTTATGTTATTCATATTTACTGCTACGATTTTCGTTGTGATATTGTTTTCACCTGCATACTGTACCCTATTAGTAAGTAATTCGTTACTACTTCCTCTATGAATGTGCGTATATCGTTCTGTCTTTCACAACACCTGTATTTTTCATATACTTCCCACGCTAATCGTTCGCTTTTTCACACATAGGTTTAAGATACATGTCGATTACCTGCCTTAGGCCCAAACCCACCTACCTGCCCACCCTACACGGATTTCACTCTAGGATTATGTATTATTTTAAGTGCCATCCCTAAGACTTTAACTGACCCAAACCGCTTTCATGACGCCCTCTCGAAGTTCGATATCTTATCCTCATCTATGCTAGAATTTATGCTTCTTTAGTTTAAGGAATTGGTGAATATGTAACTTGTATCTGACTGATGGTAGGTAGTCTATTGCAAATGATCATAACGATGATAATGCATTACAGGACACCATACTTCATATAGGCTTACATTATTATTATCACCGCAAGTTAATTTTAAGTCCGACTCATGGCCGTAAACGAATGAATCCTGCGCCGCCGCACCGCGATGTTATTTACTCTCATACGATTGAAGCGCCCCAGAAGCGCACGCCCGGCTCATGGCCGTAAAAGAAGGAATCCTGCGCCCGTCGCACACTTACGCTCATACGATTGAAGCGCCGAGACGCGCACTGTTAGAATTAAGTTCAGGCCCAGCTGCCTATATGTTCGAAGCATATATACTTGCCTATTTAGCCCAAAGATATGGAATTCTTGTCCAATTACTTTTTCTCTCTTCGGTATGATGGTACTCTACAGAACTCGCTAATCCTAACAAATCCATGTAATTAATACCCACTTACTTGACACATTACCCTTCTCGTACAAATTATTCTTATTATGCCCTCATTTTTTTTCTTGCAACTTAGTAAGGTGATTGACAAACACATTATTATCCTCCTCCTTAGCCCTTTTACTGGCCTGGTACACTTATATTTCAGCTTCTGAAGATGATTGACCCTCCTCGCTACTGAATGTTGCACCTCAGTGCGAAACCTCCACCGCACCCGCTACCTTGGCACGCGACGACCCAAGCGACCATCGGATCACCAGGAACCATCTGTAGATACCGAACAGAACCTGTATCCCTATCTGCTACTGCAGTGTTCCAGCGTTGCAGACGGCTCGAGGACGAGCCTTTCGCGCGGCCGAGCGATGTGAACAATACGTAGCAAGACCGGGTGGCAGATTCACACCTCGGTCCAAGCAAATGCCTTTCTCTTTGCGCAGGATGCAGGTGCTGCCCTCCTTTCTCTTTTCACACAGGAATAAACATCCGCCCTCCAAGGAAACCGCCGCATAAAAGGGCACGTGTCTAAGACACAGGGGAACAGAAGGAGACACGGCAGACAGGCCAAGCGACACAGGGTCTAGCTCCACCACCTCGTCCTCCACCCGGGGACACGGGGGTCTCTTGGGGGTCTCATATCTATCTTCAGAAATAAACCAGCAAGTTAAGACCCCTTTCATTGACCGCCCAAGACTATCTCTGTTACGCTTACATCTAGTGGCTTGCGTGGTCACTTATGCTTACATCTGATGGCAGCGGTGATCAAGAACCTCACAACGGCTTACGCTTACATCGGTGGGATCAAGAACCTCTCAACGCCTTACGCTTACCTCCTCGCCGACGCCGATTCATGCTATCTGCCTACAAGCTACTACTGTCGAAGTGCCTCCTCGCCTCCTTTAACGTCCAGCCATCCCTACCAAATCTTCTTTGCACCATGTCTACCCTGCTACTTTGTGCTGACCACTCACGTCTGTGCTACCCTCCTGACGAAGTCGCTGACGGCTCATCTACCTCGCCAAGTCTTCGCGAACCTTCGTCAGCACAACCATGGAGCCGCCATTCTACTCAGCACCACCAATACTTCCTAGCTACTATTAAAAGTAAGTGTACCTATTAGTGCCAGATTAGCTATTGCCCTCCCTATACCCACCCACACCTTGCATACAAGTTGCCTTCTTTCAAATTCAAGTACATGCCACTCAACGAACACAAACTACTAACTATATAATACATAACCTCTCGCTGTCAACCATTGTTTTTTCAGCACAACAAGCGAAGTCACACTGAGATCAAACCCAAGTGACACACACCACACCTCACACCTCGTTCCCCTTCCCTAACCATACTTTAATTGCTATGGTATTTTTCTGTTATTGTATTTTATCTAATGTTTATTATTATTGTCTTCACATTGCAGTTCATTATATTCTATTTTCTCTTAGAACAAATAAGTATGTGTAGATATGTTCGATTTCCCCCGTTATGTTATTCATATTTACTGCTACGATTTTCGTTGTGATATTGTTTTCACCTGCATACTGTACCCTATTAGTAAGTAATTCGTTACTACTTCCTCTATGAATGTGCGTATATCGTTCTGTCTTTCACAACACCTGTATTTTCATATACTTCCCACGCTAATCGTTCGCTTTTTCACACATAGGTTTAAGATACATGTCGATTACCTGCCTTAGGCCCAAACCCACCTACCTGCCCACCCTACACGGATTTCACTCTAGGATTATGTATTATTTTAAGTGCCATCCCTAAGACTTTTAACTGAACCCAAACCGCTTTCATGACGCCCTCTCGAAGTTCGATATCTTATCCTCATCTATGCTAGAATTTATGCTTCTTTAGTTTAAGGAATTGGTGAATATGTAACTTGTATCTGACTGATGGTAGGTAGTCTATTGCAAATGATCATAAAGATGATAATGCATTACAGGACACCATACTTTATATAGGCTTACATAATTATTATCACCGCAAGTTAATTTTAAGCCCGGCTCATGGCCGCAACGAAAGAATCCTGCGCCCGCCGCACCGAAATATTACTTACGCTCGTACGATTGCAGCGCCCAGACGCGCACGCCCGGCTCTTGGCCGTAAACGAAGGAATCCTGCGCCCGCCGCACACTTACGCTCATACGATTGAAGCGCCGAGACGTTAGAATTAAGTTAGACGTTAGAATTAAGTTCAGGCCCAGCTGCCTATATGTTCGAAGCATATATACTTGCCTATTTAGCCCTAAGATATGGAATTCTTGTCCAATTATTTTTTTCTCTCTTCGGTATGATGGTACTCTACAGAACTCGCTAATCCTAACAAATCCATGTAATTAACACCCACTTACTTGACACATTACCCTTCTCGTAACAAATTATTCTTACTATGCCCTCATTTTTTTCTTGCAACTTAGTAAGGTGATTGACAAACACATTATTATCCTCCTCCTTAGCCCTTTTACTGGCCTGGTACACTTATATTTCAGCTTCTGAAGATGATTGACCCTCCTCGCTACTGAATGTTGTACCTCAGTGCGAAACCTCCACCGCACCCGCTACCTTGGCACGCGACGACCCAAGCGACCATCGGATCACCAGGAACCATCTGTAGATACCTAACAGAACCTGTATCTCTATGTGCTACTGCAATGTTCATGCGTTGCAGACGGCTCGAGGACGAGCCTTACGCGCGGCCGAGCGATGTGAACAATACGTAGCAAGACCGGATGGCAGATTCACACCTCGGTCCAAGCAAATGCCTTTCTCCTTGCGCAGGATGCAGGTGCTGCCCTCCTTTCTCTTTTCACACAGGAATAAACATCCGCCCTCCAAGGAAACCGCCGCATAAAAGGGCACGTGTCTAAGACACAGGGGAACAGAAGGAGACACGGCAGACAGGCCAAGCGACACAGGGTTTAGCTCCACCACCTCGTCCTCCACCCGGGGACACGGGGGTCTCTTGGGGGTCTCATATCTATCTTCAGAAATAAACCAGCAAGTTAAGACCCCTTTCATTGACCGCCCAAGACTATCTCTGTTACGCTTACATCTAGTGGCTTGCGTGGTCACTTACGCTTACATATATATATGTGTGTGTGTGTGTGTGTATTCACATATATATGGCGTCCTTATGGTGTACCTCAAAGTGTGAATATTCACCCCTAAAGTTGTAATGCGTGCCCAGAGCGTTGCAAGATTTGGTGTTTAAAAATAGAAAGCTTGAGCTGGTTTCTGCCTGGCGTTTCCAGCTCATCAAATGAGGATTTTTATGTTTTTATGAGTGTTCATCCTGAATTGTATAATCACACATTGCGTGAGTGTAAGGGTGTCATATCAGTTTTTTTTCTTGGGGGGGGGGGCAGGTAGACGGGCCCCCACTAAAAAATAAAAATAAAATAAAATTAGCTATTCATGGGCATTTCCATACTATAATCACGCCTATATAGGTGTAAATAATAGTAATAATAATAATGATTATAATAACAATAATAATAATAAATTGTGGCTTTTCGGGGGAGCAAACCAGACCTCGAGGGTGGCAAACGAAGTCGAGGGGGGGAGGGGACTGACGCCCTTGAGTGACTGTCATTAGCAACTCACCAGGACGCTACATAAAATATGTAAAGTATGGAAAAAATGAGTTTGACGCGTAGTTGCTTCAGATTTTTATACAGAATAATTTTGAATTAATAGAACTAAAGTCAGTCAGCTGGAAACGGACATGCTCAGAAATGCATAGGTCGCGGTCGGCCGTCGCTCCGTGGGACCCTCACTCCAATCGCAACTTGATCATATCGGGGGAAACGCCGACGGGGTGCATGGCCGCATCAAATTCATGCTTATCATTAGTGTTGTTGTCGATGTACTCATTGTTATCACGATCATTATCATTATCATATGTTTCTATTATCATTATGAATTGTAATTGTATTAGGCCTACTGTTATTCCATTATCATGGTTATTATTGACATCGGTATCGTCATAATCTGGATTAGTGTTGTTTGTATTATTGGGTTTATTGACATACTATTTTCCTTTACTCTGGTGAAACATTATCATTATTGCCTTGTTATAGTCATTGTTGTTAAATTACGATCACCGCAATGGCATTTATAAGAAACAAGAATAATATGACCGTGATGGCGATTATAAATTTTAGCTTCGTTAATGCATCGCTGCCATTATCATCATCATCTTTACAACCACTCTTATTATAATACGTGTCCATTATCATTTATGTTGTCAGATACATCAGGCAAGGACGCCTTTGCACGTCTAAATATATGAATATACGTACACACACACGTGTGTATATATATATATAAATAAAGCATGTATATGTGTGTATATATACACACACATGTGTATGTATGTACATATACACACACATATATGTGTGTGTGAACATATGTATATATACATATATGTGTATAGGCACACACACACACACGTTACAGTCAAATTGTAAAATTAGCCATTTCGTGTAATGGGTGAAAATTCCAGTTATGTCTTGAAATAGCTAAAATATTTTGTCGTTACATGAAATAGCTTAGAATCAAGCATAGCTATTCCGTGAAATGGCTAAGATATTGATGAGATGATGAAAATAAGAAAACTGCATCACAGAATGCCTGGAGAAATCAATATTACAGAATTTATATGGAGAAAATAATATCACAGGCACTGTCAAGTACATACAAATCACAAACATCAACAAATGTTATACAATTTTACATTTACTTATTTCGACATGTGGTACTACTATGACAACGGCTATTACACTTGAAATTAGCCTTGTAACATTTACATCTGCTAGTGCAACACTTCTTACTTGCAGCACAATCACATTTGACAAATTGGCAATGCTTTGAATATATATATATATATATATATATATATATATATATATTTATATATATATATATATATATATATATATATATATATATTTACATATATATATGTATATATATATATATACATACATATATATATATATATATATATATATACATATAAAAGTATATATACATAGGCGGCGGAGCGAGTCTATGACTGGGGGGCAAATGTGAAAATGCATAGTTTGATGATCTTTTAGACACAACACAACATGCGCATGCCACAGTTCTCACATAATTATATACTAAGCACATCAGTGTACTCAGTTCTGCGTTAAATAAATAATACCCAGAAGTGATATATCCATATGGCTTCCAGAATTTATGTGTGTTAACTGTTTTGTTGTGGTGGGATTGGGAGGGGGCGATTTGCTTCAAAAATAGAATACACGTCCATTCGAACTCCGCTAGTTAGGCGTTCATGAGTCCAGGAAAGACTGTTCTTTACTATACTATACTTCACTATACCTATACAATACTTTTAATAAATCAAGTTAATGGAAACCAACATGTCTATTGTAAGAGTGATATCCATTCTGGTAAAATGAGATACAGTATAATTATAGTATATTTTTATTAGTCTGTTTGAACGTATAAAACCAAATGCAAAGCACAATATTTTCAGCAATTTCTGGGGGGGGGGATATACTCTCGCCCCTCCAGTTTTTATTCTAGGGGGGCGCTCGCCCTCTGCCCCCCCCCCCCCACCTTAAACCTTAAACAAGAATCAGTGCATAAAATAAGACTTCTATCTCATTATCTTCATACTATCTGCATTAATGGCAGTCTTTCTAGTTCATATATTCGCGTTTCCATGATGTAGTTTTGACCTATGATAGCAACTTTCCAGAGGTTGGAGAGAGCGAATTCAACATCAAGTTTTTTGGTTCACAAGGCAAAGTTTGTGGATTTCCAGAATGGTCATTCTGGCGAAAAGGCAAACATTCAGTTAACGGTTAGGATAAGTGGCCAGAAAATGAGAAGGAAATATAGAGGAGACGAAAATACCCTGCAAAATTAGACGAGGTTCAAGGCAGGGGAGATCCCCTACATTGGGACTCAGTCTCCCGTTTCCTAAGCTCCCCCGCGACAATAGCAAGGAATTGTGGGAGATTGCCAAGATGCCCGTTTCCAATCATTCGATAAAATATCTTCTACAAAGACTTCCTGTTAATCAATGCTGTTCATTCATCTACATATTTGGATTCATTTCCTTCACAAGAAAATAAATATTAAGCATTCATTGCCATAATATACGTTTACAAAGAAAAACAAAGCCAGATATGTGCTAATATATGTCAAGTAGAATTCATTCAAACGATACTTAAAAAGTGAAAAGTACTGGTGTATTGATTATTTTCAGAGCTATCTAGAATGTTTGTGGATTTTCTCTGCAACATCTTTATAAATGATAATTGTGTAATAGTACGTGAATAATTGTTACTTTTCACTTCTTTGGTGTGTCCCTACCATTCTCATCAACGTTTCATGGGACACCTTCTCTCCGAACCTCGTGACCACATCCTTAGATATTCTGTTTTCATAGAAATGTCTGACAATGCTGGTCTTAGGAACGGTAAACGTTTCGAGTTCTGTAAACAAGACTATAATTTAATGATACTGAACAATGAATTAATATAAATTTCGGAAGGATCAATTCCCCTCGTTTGTCGTAGTTCAGGCATGCAAGACCCTATAAACTCGAGCATAAATGTGCAAATGATCACAGGCATGGATGATGATGATGATGATATAAAAAAAAAAAAAAAAAAAAAAAAAAAAAAAAAAAAAAAAAAATTGATCTCATAAAAAAAATCTAAAACGATTTAAGTCGCGTACACGCCTAGCAAGAATCAAACAAACAAAAAAAGAAAAGAAAAGAGAACCACTTTCAATGAACAAATACATAATGAAGAAATTAAACATTTAACCCTATCGATAACTTTCGAATGTGGTGTCAAACTCGGTATAGCGCCATGATCACTCCATATAAAATTTACTTTGCCTAAGCCGTAGCCGTAATAGTAATAGGTCTCCTCCCTTGGGTGCGCGAGATGTTTTGTTGTTCACATGCTGGTGACTGGGAGTCAGAGCCGGGCAGAAGCCAGCAGAGCAGATAGTCGACAGATATTTGTTTACGATTAATTAATGTGAATAATGTATTTGATATTGTTCATTGTGTGAAGCGAACTCGCTTGGAGGGTCCTTTGCAAGATTCATACACTGCAGTTCGTGTAGTTTTACATTGTGTTTAGGATTCGGTAATTTTCAATACAACGTGGCACCTCATGAATTTAGTGCAGCTATGCAGATCGCTGTAATGGCTTTCGGGTGAAGAGGTGCCGATAGTCAGTCACCTCCCCCCCCCCCCACACACACAATTACAAACGTATGGAGGAGTGAGAGTTTCCTGTAGGTTAAATTTGAGCGTTGTTGTTGATGCAATACTTGATCACAAGGGTTGACTGTTCGTGCTGGGTTAGCAACCCATGGGGGTTCTCGGGTCGGTCAGATAGCCATTTAAAGAGTGAAAGGTGTGTTTGTAGGCCCAGTGTGTATTTAAGTAATATCATGTAGGCCTACCATTCCATGTCGTGTATTCATATGTCTAGGGCCGAGAACAAGAAAGCTATATGTCAAAAGACTAGGGGGAAAAAAGCCTGTGAAAGTTGCTCCATAAATGCAGTTTAGCAAATAATAATTCGAGTTTTTTTCTGCAACTAATCTAGGTTACATTATTCTTGAGGGAGTAGGGAATATTTTGATAAAGTACCGTGGCGAAAAGGGTAAATATGAGTTAACGATTTAGATAGGTGGACAGAAAGGGATGTAGAAGAGAAGGGAAAAGGAGGAGGGAAAAGAAAAAACTGCAAAATTACATGACGGAAGTGCTGAGGTCTAAGGCAAGAGTGACCCGTACATTGTGCCTGTCTATGCCTCCGAACCCCCCCCCCTCCTCTTCCCCCCTACCACCCGGCAACAACTAGCAAGAGGTTGAAAGGGATCGAAGCAAGGAAGATGGGAGTTTTGCAATCTAGGCCCCAGGATATATGGGAGTAAGATTCGGAGGCAGCGGCGAGCTTTTCTTCACTGTAAAAGATGTGGTTTTGCCAAGGGAATCTGGAGTCCAAAATAACGCCAAGGAATTTGCCAGAAGTACAGTATTAGAGTGGAAATTGATATAAATGGAGGGTTGGGACCTGTACATGCGCAAAAGAAAAGGATGTAGGGATCAAGGGGACCATGGCTTATAATTATCCATACTTCATTCACTGTTCATACGCATGTTTAGCCTTAGGTCGTTTTTTTTTTCTTGAATTTCGTTATGTATTTCCATACATTTGGCGAGTGTTTGGTGTGCAACTTGTTATTCGCATTGCACACTGTCTGGAACATCTACTGTCTTGCCTTAAGAGTAATCTTGGTCATCTTTAGTGTGGATATGTATTTTATTAGATGAAGGTACCCTCCATTTGTATACAGTTGCCCCTAATTATTGGAGAGCACTTCCGTAGATGTTCCACTTCATCATTCATTTTGTACAGCATGTAGGATTCCTCTTAAATGTCGTTGCACTTATTCTGGTCTACACAACATTTACTCATTAGGATCTTTCAGTATATACTAATCGTTAATAAAATGTGTAAGGGACATTTTAACACGATGTAAGGTGCTGCAACTCATAACATAACTATTGTGTTTCTAATAGATTATTACAATTCAATCTAGGCATAAATTTCTGTTCAATACTCATGCATGCTATGTCACTAGTGTGCCTAAATCATTACTATAAAGTTAACTCATAAACCAACTTACATACATTACAGTCAAAGCCAAACTACAGCTCCATTTCTATAATTCTGAGAAATTATAGACTAATAGAATCGTGCCTACAATATGCTATTCAATTACTGGTTAATGAAAAGTCCCCATCATTCATATAAACTTTATTAACGAGTCACAACTTTATTTCAATTTGTTTTGTCGTTTATCTGAAATGCAACTGGTGGTATTACTTATTCCTATAACTACTTTTAATGATTGAATGTTCTTTTTAAAAAGCTTAAAAGAAAAGAAAGATTTTTATTCTGGCTAATTTTAAGGTGGTTTGAAAGCATTTCATCTAAAATATTTGATATCATGAATGTATGTTTGTTTGTTAAAAAGCATGTCATGCAAGTCTGTAGATTTAATTTAATTAGGGTTAGAAGCAATTATGAGATGCAATTCCAAACAATATGAACTACCATTACTTCTTCAACAAGCAAAACAATTCTAATCTTACGCCCAATCAAAGATAATGGCTCTACCATTCAGAAGCTATTAGAAAAAATATAAAATAGAGAAAAGAAAGTGAGTGTCACTTAGCAAAACATTAACTTCAACAAAGTTTTAGTTTCTAAAGTAAATGAAACATATACGACTTACCAGGCAATCGAAGATGCAGAATTTTACTTATTCAACAAAGGTGTCCACTTTGCAAATCCCTCATGAATTACTATGGAAATGTTTACTTTCCTTATTATCAATCCCAGAGCAGAACTATGCTAATAACTTCCCACAGTTTACAGAAGTCAAATGATTGGAGAAAGATAAGAGAGCCTCAGTGTACCTGTTCCAGTGATTCAAGTGATCAAATTAAGTTCATGAAAAATGGTAAGATAGTAGAGGCACAACTATATCTTGTTTATGTAAAAAGCTTGTCTTTAAACTCACTTTCAGATTTAGATTACAAAGTCTCAGATCTTGATAATTTCCATTTTATATGAAAAAAAAAAGTTGTAAGAGTATAGATACACAGGCCATCAATGGCATGTTGAATTATATATAAAAAAAGCACCTGAAAAGCAAGTTCTTCATTAGTAAAACCCCATTCACTTTTTTTGGCTGCAATATTCTTGACCTTTCTATGTATATGAAATACTAACAAGTCACAATACAACAGAAGGAAAGCCAAGTTAACCCTCTTGGATAATGCTCTATTCAATTTCCAACAGGGCCAAGGCTTTTTCATATTGTATAGTACTTGATAAGAATAATAACTTCCACTGTATACTTTTTGTATTACCTGATGGTATATGTTTGAAACAACTGAAAAAAGCTTTCTTTGCAGTTGGAATCCAGAAAGCACATGCTCCTTTAACTGTAATTATATGCAACTTTCCATGAATTATGATATCAAGATCTCTACACTTGAGCTCTTTGCTGTACAAGAAGCTTCACACTAACAAGAAAAACTGGTCTCCCCAACTAATGAAATTTGAGAGAGAAAAAAAGAAGAGTAAAAAGTGGCTGGAAGGGATTTAATGACTTTCTTCTGATGGTGTGAACCTGTTCCCAAAATCTTTTTCCTAGTTTAAGGAATCACTGTTGGAACGTGTGTCTACTTGGAAATGAAAACCTTGTAAAAAGAGGCTGTTATCGGAGGGTTTCCAACATAAATGAGACGAAGGATTACCTCATGGCAGTACTGACACTTCCCCTGTGAGGATGAGGATGATGATGATGTGGTGTTCAACAAGGAAGACTCGGGTTGACCATACGCCCTTTTGACCTGAGAAAACTCTTGCATTCCTTCGTCTTGACCCAGTTTTTTGCGACTTTGCTTCAACTTTACTTCCCTTCCTTACTGCCTTCCCTCGTTTTTTCTTGTGTTACCCTTTTACCCGCCTTATTTCCTTCTTCAAACCAACTGCCATCTTCATTACTTCTCCAATTTCCCTTGAAGCTTCACAAAATTCTAGTGTGAGATCTTCATATGCTTGGAAACATTCCATTTCTTGCTTATTACAACAGTGGTGAATATTGTCAGCCTGTTCTGTCTTCGCCAACAATTCTTCTCCAATGTTCCCCAAAGAAACCCGGCCAGTGCTTCTAATCTTCCGACTCATTAAGATTTTCTCATCTTCCAATATTCACCAATACTTCCATTCTTCAAGCCTTGGGATGACAAAAGAAAATAGCGTTAAGAATCGTTTTATTGGTAGAGCGAACCACAAAAAAACTTCTGACGTACACAGTCTTAAGCTTCAACTTAAGTAATTCTTTCTTTTAATGAGGATGTCACACCTCAACTCCTTCTAGTCTAAACATGGGTCACCTTTTATCACTTTCACATTACTTTCACTTACCATTGAACAAGCACATGTTTGTCATTCACTTATGAAAAGAAAAGAGAAAAAAGGGGAAACCATAACAGAACATAATCAGTATATACCAAGTTGTGGTAAACTTGTGAGCAATGTCTTTTACGAAACAAACTGAGATGGATGAAACAATCAAAGAAGTTCTCAACATACAAACATATTGTAAATCAACTATCTACAAGGAGAACTAATGCCTGTTAAACAACCCTTTTGTTTCATCTTTATTGATCATTTTATAATGTGTTACAGAAAGGGTGATTATAGACCTAAAATCACTCCAAAATACTAATAAAACTCATCTTAAAATAAGAAAAGAAATACACAGAAGGCAAAAAATAGAAATATTCATTCTGGATTCTTCTGATAAGATGAGAAAGTCCTAAATTCGAAAATAATCTTGTTTCTTTCATTCCTCTCCATATATAAAATGCTTATCATATCTCAAGACACAGCACATATTCACTTCTGGTTTTCTTTTAACGAAAAATATCTTGATACCTGATGCAAAGAACATTATATCTTGAGGAATACTTCCTCAGTACATAGAAAAACTGTTGGTCAAAACAACCAGCTTGTCCTTAAATATAGGCCTGCTAAACTTTGAAAACCATGAAACTGCTGAATATCTAATGTTGCATTCTAACAGGATAAAATATATTCTTTATATCAGAGTGCTTTGATCTTGTTAGAATGCCTAGTTACATTAAATACAGTTCATGTTTCTAGTTATTATCAAACTAAAGTGACACCAGCACCTCAATACCGGCTGTAGCGACCTGAAAAAGGATAAATCTTGCATAGTCAAAATATATTTTGACATTGCTGTTCACACTCAAACAATTTTTTAAGAGACTGAAATGGCCAATTTCACAGTGACAAATCAAGCAAAAAATTATGCTTTTCATACACAAGGAGCAAGTTGAAATGCGCTAAATCACAAGATGTATGACAGTCACTATGTGGACAAGGGTTACATAGATACATATTGTATGAGGAGACAAAATAGAGATCAGCAGATCATAAAAAGAAAGGTTAAAAATCAAAGCAAAACCATCAAAGAAACTAAACAGATTTTCAAAAGATCCTCTTTTGAAGTTTTTCAAAATGTGCAACCTCAAAATTCAAACTCAAACTTTACTTTAGTATACAAATATTGTTCTCTTAAATTGTCCTGAACAGGTCTACACCAATGGCAGGGAACAAATATCTTGAGTGATTTCATTAATACGTTTGTGACACCTTTAGTCTGTACACTTGCATTCCCTGCCTTGAGTACCTGCAAGAGTAATCAACTAGACAATACAAATGGGTATCATCTGCCTCTCACATTAGCACCAACACCGTCTACTTACGTGGAGAGTATGATCGAGAGCGTGAGCGGTATGATCTGCGTGGAGGGGATCGGCGGCTGCGACTGCCTCCTCCGTATCCACCTCTGTGGCGACCTCCTCCACCTCCACCGCCACCTCTACGACCATTGTTAGAACTGAAACATCAAGTGATATGTGAGTAACAACAAAATGACAGATATTGAGGTATCCTGCACAAATGAATTTATGATCAATGACTTTCCCAAAAGCATAATTTTCAAAGAGGCTGCTTCACTTACTAAGTTGGTCGACCCATGTATATGCCAGGAGTGGGTGTGTGGGCTCTCTCTGTGATGGAGTAATCCACTCTGATCCGCCTTCCATCAATCTCCATGCCAGTGCACTGCTCCTTGGCTTCTGTGGCATCATCCACATGATCAAAGTAGATGAACGCAAATCCCCTTGATCGCCCAGTCTGCAAGTATCAGAATTGATAAAATAATTATTTCTTGATTCAGTGAAAAAAATGATAACATATGACCGAACATCAGTCAGATCATATTCAATTCCTTCAAAACAGTTACAAAAAATAGGAAAACTTTCTAAGTCTGCAATTTCACACCTTTTTCTATATTACATAATCATGAACACATTATGCTTATAGAGAAGTAATACTAAAATTCAGTTACATATCTGCTTTTCCTCATCCATAACTTTTTCAACATTTCTCTACATAGATTATGTGGCCAAAAGTTCTTATTACTTTCAAGATTCTAGCTATCACAACAGATATTTCTCCATCTGCTCATCCAGCTTAATGCTACTTAAAGTTATCACTATTACACTATTAATATTGATTTCACTATTATAATAATTACCAATAAGCAGACTACCCTAACCCCACTCAACCTCAGAAGTTCAGTAACAGATGCAGGACAACCTTTCTCTCACCCACAGTTCTTGTTCCTACCTTCCAGTATCACCATCACATGTTGGTGATACAGGAACCTATGTGTCAATAACAATTTCTCCTTGAAAAGATCATGTACAAAATTGGCTAGAATTAATCACATGAAAAAATAAACAGAAGTTCTCTTTAGTCTGCCTTGCTTCCCTCCAATCTAAAATATACCAAAGAAAAAGCCTTGTATGAATTTCTCTTTGAAAACAGACTATTAACTCAAATAACATTACCTACCAAGAGGTAAAACATTAATATATCTAATAACATTAATACTGAAGTGTTAAAATAGGCCTGTACATTCACTCAATGTGCTCATGCCAGGTGTCATGACAACTAATGCTGAGTGATAAAGAGGGGTTTGTAGTTAAGGTTATTTTCATCAAAGTGAACTAGAAAGTATATGTAAATTGTGTGCCATGTATCTTCATGCAGGTAAAGCCTTCCAAACATGCTTGATAATTTTGTTTCTCATAGTTTTGTAAACAAGATTGCAGAAATGTGAATGCATTCAAACAAAAACTGACAACTGAACCAGCATTATGTGACACCTGGAAGCCACAGCATAATGAGCCTATTGTCTGGCAGTCCATGTTCCACAGGTTAAAATAGTTTACAGTAGTAAAACTTCCATTCACATATTTCTTTTACCCTATGAGAAAGGAAGAGGTCTGTAATGCACATATACAGCACACCATCACCACCACTCACATTCACACCTGCATCCACACACCCTTACTGACCAACACAAACCACCACCAACCCGTGTAATTAAAAGTTTGATACTAGCCAAGAAATGATACTTACTTTAGCATCTAGTACAACTTGAACTTCATTGATATGACCATATTTGCCAAAGAGGTGATGAAGCTGAAACAAAAAATAATGAAAATTTGCTTATTCCATTCCTGAAGGATGTCAGTCAGGCTAAAATAAAATGATTCAAAAAGGTGACTGGAATGTCCCAATCACAAAATATTCTGCAATAACATCTGATATCCATTAAAAACAGGTGTGTTGTAAAGAATATTTGATATTGGAATCAAGACATTCTATAATTCGCCTCACCTGGTAAATTATTCAATCTTCATTCATAAGATTTTCTCAACATGCAAAACAAACTTGGGCACAAAAGCTCATTAAGGGTGTCAGTTCACCTGTCTCTCGGTTGTGTAGAGAGAGAGTCCAAAGATGCCTAGGCAGTTGCTCGGGGACGGATCCTCTCTGCTCCCGTGATGACGGCGGCGATTCGACATTGGCGACCTTGATTGGGACCTAGGATTTAGACAGATCAAAAAACTTGTGCTGACCCTATTTACCTAAGTGATATCCAAGGAGAGGGAAACTTTGGTGATGTGATGAACTAAGGTTCCAAGCAAATCCAGAAGAGCTGTATCATGTCTGGAATCTCTCCTTTCCAAAAGCTAAAGCTTCTAGCTACACAGCACTGTTGTTTAAATAACACACATTCCATAAAGGCACCAACATCTGACCCGAATCAAAATTGCCAACCTGTTACTCCTTCTGTTTCTGGAGTAAGATGGGGAACGAGAATCTCTGCGGCGTGAGGAGGAATATTTGTCCTCTCGGTAGCGGTCCTCGCGGTATCTTGGGGAACCAGAACTTCTAGAGGAGTGTTTGTAGGTTTCACGTCGGTCTCTGGAGCGTGATCTGATAGAAAATATAGGAATTTATTATCATTTTTTTTTTTTTTCAAAAAACTTTGACATAAAATGTTAGATTTAAAAAAGAAATAGAGTATAAAGATCTAAATAACTGTACAAATGTTTTTTCCTAGTTTAAATTCCTCTATGCACCTGGTATCAACCAATAACCATCATTTTTACAAAGATTTGGGAGCACTATCAAACCTGGAAAATGCCCCCACAATAACAGTGTACAGATAAGTAACATCAACAACTCATATATTGGGTATACCACACATGTTTAGGGAATGAAACGACTCTTACCTTGACCGGGAAAATGAAGGGTCCCTCGACCTTTCACGAACTGGTGAAGCTCCATTGGCCACAGCATGTTGCGGTGAACGACTCATTTTTCTGTATCTGAAAAATGGCAATATAAAAATAACAATGAGAAAGAATAAAATTTTATCTATTTTTAATCTTTTATATTATTATTTTTAAAAATTAAATTCTCAGTATTATATAAAAAGACTATTTTCTCTAATTTTTTCCTTAGTTCTGATAATTAGTTGCAAGTGAAATTGTAGGTAATCACTACCTTCAGGGTCTAAGTCAGTCAATAATATTAGTAGCTACTCACTACATGTAGTGTGGAATTAGTCATTCAATTGCTACTTACTGATTTGTGTGTTGAATATTTAAATAACTTTACTTTTACAAGAAAGTCTCCCCTTTTCTCAGACTACTAGCTAATGGCCAAATTCCTCTATCACAATTTACTATGAAAGGGCTGAGTGTGCTGTATGCAAGATCTTGCCGATCCAGTCCTAAATTAATTTTACAGACTTCATTTGAATAAAAGCAATGAAGGCTACTTAAAATCAATGCCGACTTCCTTTAATATGCAAAAAGAAGCTTGAGCATATACAAAAAATAATATTTAGAACAAACAAGAATCACAATAATAAACGGATAAAAAGCTCTTCTGTATATATACTACTGTAGTTTTTGCATTGTAGATTTTTCTATCATGACAATAATGATTGTTATATTCCCTCTAAAGATAACCCACTATAATAGGATAAACTAATAAATTTCTTTACTTCATACAAAAAATTCCTTTACTAATAGAAGGGCAATAATATTACACATTCAATATATCAAAATGTAAAGTGTCACTCAAATGTTTGGTGTCCTTGCATCAGCTAGTAATTAGTGCAAAATACTGTATTTTTTAACAGAATATTGCAGTGAAAATGAGAGAAACTGCCAAATTCATGTTTTGAAATTAAATGAAAATTTATATCTACATTTTCCTCATCATTACTGATGAATAATTATCTTCATCTGTCTTCAACTTTGCATATTTCTCTATGCCTCCACACAAACACATCTCTGCCCATCAATTTTTGACCAGGACTGCCAGATTTGAAGACATCTGCAGGTGTCCCATGCACGTAAGGCCCTTCTTGAAATTATCCTTATGAGATACAGACACCTTTAATGGAATTTATACAAATTGTCAGTAAAATTTTATCTATAT